GGGATATCCCTTTAAGGTTGCGGATGGCCTTGATTACGGGACAAGGCGCACCTACGTTTTTTTAATGGTGGTGATGTGTTTTGAAGAGAGAGGCGCGCCAGTTTTGTTGACTGCAGCGTCACAGAGTTAAAGCTGGGTTTCCTTAGGGTTTGAGAATTTTTTCAACCGATACGACAAGAGATGGCTTTAATGGGACAAAAAATATGTTAACCACCTGGACTGTTTACTCGGGGATGCGTTTCCAGCAGAAGGACATGCTTGAACCCAAGTTTGAGAAACTGTGTGAGTAAACATTGCCCGAAGATCGACCGAGCTGGTGAGATCTGACTCATTCTTTTTATTGGAGTGGAACACCAGAGACTCAACGCTCTATTTTTTCCTTGTTGGGGATTACGTTTTTTGTCACGCAGCCAACAGAGGATTATGTCTCGCGAACTGACTGTATCTTGGTTGGAAAGACTGTAGCGCGATCTTGGGCCAGCCTGAAAATCTTTTCGGGTTAAGTTTATGGACTGGGACAGTGGGGAAAGTGGGGGGTTACACGCACGGGTTTTTTTATATTCGGCGCTCAGCGCGTCAAGCAAATGAACGGGTTGATATGGGTTTTTCCTTTGAATGATTTTCAGCGCCGTCTGAAGATTTGTTTTGGTACGGTGTGGGTCATTAATTTCCATGCATTTGTGCTTGAGCATGGTTATTTGATAAAGGAAAACATCAAGAATGTGTTATGATTGAAGTATATGATTTTTCTGATTATTGATTTCATTCTAAAAAGATCCCCTTGTGCGTTTATAGTGACACACCTGTTGACAACAAAGAAAATTGAAAAGCAGAGTGTTACACGAAGTAACACGAAGTGTGTGGCCCAAGGTGGCCTTGTTCAGTGTGGCCCTAGGTGGCCTTGTTCAGTGTGGCCCTAGGTGGCCTTGTTCAGTGTGGTCTATAACGGCTTGTGTTCAATGTCTCAATGTTTAGCTAGCCAGAATAGTTAATGCATAAACGCATTATTCACTCTTCTCATAGTGCCTTTCAGGCTCACTGATCTCACTATGATGAAGTGGCCTCTTATTAATTAGCTATTGGCCTACAAAACATTGTATTGTTATGCAGACGAAACCCAGCTGGATTTTCCTTTGACATCTAATGACAATTCTAAATGGTCAGTTTTGCTTGATTGTCTGGATGAGATAAAGCAGTGGATGGCATAAAGTTTCCTTCAGCTGAATGAGTCGAAATATGAAGTGGTGATTTTTGGCCCATCGAAGCTAGCCAAACAGTTTTCTCCTGATTTGGGCCCTTTAGCCTGCAATATTAATACTCAGGTGAGAAACCTTGGTGTGATTTTCGACTCCGAATTGAAATTCGTAAACAAATAAATGCTGTGGTATAGGGTAGCTTTTTTTCAATTGAGGGGCATTGCCAAATTAAAAGGCTTATTGTCCTTTAAAGATATGGAAACTGTGATCCATGCATTTGTGTCGTCCAGATTGGATTATTGTAATTCTTTATATCTGGGGCTGTCTAAGAAGTTGCTTTCACGTCTGCAGCTAGTACAGAATGCAGCGGCTAGACTGCTGACTGGCACCAGGAAATGTTCCAGTATTTATCCAGTGCCTACATGGGCTTGTCCCTGTATACATTTCTGGTCTCTTACAGCATCGGCTGCGCCCCTGCCTTCGTCTTCAGGCAGGATATGCAGAGTCCGGACCCTCGGATTGCGAGCTACGGACGGGGCCTACGCCAAAGAACTTTATATCATAATATTGCTTGCTGGGCTGTTAATAAATGGTTAATTGTTATAGTATTATTCTCCCGAGTCTTTCTGGTAGAAATGACCGGCAACCTTGCCTTGGAAAAACTGACATACACTGAAAAAGATGACACTTTGGACCAACCTAAAAAATTACTGTAATTTGTTACAACTAAATTTATTAGTCTTTCTCAAGCTATATTTTTGATTTGGTTTAAACTTTAATTATTAATTTAATAGCAATCAAAATTGTTATTCTGCTCAACAAAAAGTTAAATGACTCTGAAGCAGTGTTAAAGTTAATGAGATAATTAAGTGATTAATTGAGTGATGATTGAGCATTATTGAAGACACCTGATGTTACAGTTTTTGCCCGTTGCTTGAACACATTTTGCAAAACTTTGCTCATTGTGCCAAAACTCTACACACAAGTAAACATGACACAACACTGGGAAATATACCATTCACATCTGTGTCAAATTGAAACTCTACTATCAAAACCTAACATTCCTTTGTCAAAACCTAACTCTGATGACAAAATGACACATACTTGCATCATATGCATACACTTTCAGATCAGGGGAAACACACTAGTCTACTTCATATAAAACACTGCAGTCTTTGATTTTCACTGTTTATTCAGATGGCATATTTTCAGGAGGCACATTTTTAAACAACCAAAAAAGCAAATAGGCCTACTCAATATTGTACATTGCAGTAACATGAATTCATTTTTTTATAATAATAGAAAAAACACTATACTGTAAACACAGAAAAGCATGGCAATTGTGCATACGTGGGCTCATATTTCCCCCACGCTGCCCCGGGACGTGCACAATTGCCCTTTGGCCAATTACATTACGTCCCCGTCGTCGTTTTGCTCAGGTCGAATCCAGCTTCATCAATGAAAATGAATTCATGAGGCTGTGCAGCTCCATCCATGACCAAGATTCTCTGTAACAAAAAAAAAACCCATATTACTGCACTACAGTGCTACACATACTGAACCCTCACCCCATCACACAGGTCCCTGTGTAGCTCTCCGAATGGATCCATGTGGTACTGATATGGCACATATTCAGCTGCTACTGGATTTCACCAATACTGTATTGTAAATGTGAAGGACAGTTACACTTACCCGTACATATTCAGCTCGAAGTCCTTTGACCCTGACACTGTTCCTCTCAAATGGGACCCTGTAGAGCTGCTTCATGGTGATGTTGTGTTTTCCCAAGATGCGTCTGATGGTGGTGATGCTCACATGGTTTATGTTGTTGAACACTTGCCTGTCTGCAAGTATTTTCTGTCGTAGCTGGTGGAGACGGATGGTATTGTCTGCCCTCACTAGGTCCACAACGGCAAGTTCCTGCTGTTGTGTGAACAGGCGTTGGCGTCCTCCCCCATGAGGTCTTCTAGGCATTCTAGAGAAATACGACCACAAATTGTCATCGGTTTGCATCTTTTCTTACATTTACTGTATATTCTGTATCATCCACTGTACTGAAACATCTCAATCTACTTTAAGTAATCCTGCATGGTATGTTTCACAAAAACTACCACTTTGGCTGCAAAAGGTGCATTAGCACCCTGCAATACCCTGTACATGTGATGTGGTAATGTGATATACAGTCCAGTGCTGTAAATAATAGTAGAGTAGAGAGGTGAAGACATACCTGTTCATACCTGAACATACCGGAATGTTCTTATTACAGATGCCACTGTGAAACGGCTTAGATGTGGCTGGACTCTCTGCCCAGCTTCCCTCGTCAGGCTATGGTTGATGACATGGTCCACCAAAGTTGCTCTTATATCATCAGAAATAGGGGTCCGTGCATGGCCTCTTTGACCTTGACCTTGTCCTCCTCTTCATCTTCCTCCTCTTCCTCTACCTCTGCCTCTTGCTCTCCCTCCATCCATGCTTGCAAAGTTCTTGAAATGGCTAAACTGGGGGCTTTTTGTAGCTGGCTGATTGGTGTTCAGTTTTGCAAGTAAGTGCCTTCAATTGTGTATTTGAGTGGTTTCAATTACCCGATGTGTTTTGTATTTTGGATAAATGTGTTTTCCAAATGGCACCCTGAGATTTCATTTTTGAACGAAGTGTCTTATGTATGAAATAGAGTGTAGTATGCAGGACCAAGTGTGTTGCATAAAGGAGTAAGTGTGTTGCAGAATTGCAACTAGAGTGCAAAGCAGCGCTTTTGTTTAAGGTATGGGCACATGTGTTTGAGGTATGGTAACAAAAGCTTCAAGTTGTGTTACTTTAGTCTAAGCATGGGTCTATAGTGTTCAATCAATAGGCAAAAACTGTAACAAGCAGAATCACTGAAGGAGAAAAAAATAAAAAATAAGTCACCGTTATGGTGATCAGTGTGTGTTTTAGTTGGACTCTTGACCCTTAAATCATTAACTTTTAATGTTGTTTGGCTGCTGACAGCCAGATGAACAACTAGAAAAGGTGATCTGATGGTGTTGGTTGAGTTTTAACATAATCATTATTTCATAATCATTTGACCTGAATCAACTCATATTGAGTCCCATTTAGGTTTACTTTATTAATTATACCAGCACTGGCCTTGTTCAGCATAATATTTTTAGCCTTTTCAATGAAATCCAAATTATCAATTCAATAAAAAGAAAACTTCAAAACCATTTATGTTGGCACACACAGACATCAATAATTAGCATATGAATCTCAGCAATGGTGACAAACAGATCACCTCTGAACACAAGCTCATTATTTATTCATGCAGCAATGCATGCTGGGAGCCATGAATGAGTTTTGATTGGTGGCACCCAGAATGCACTGCAACATGCTTATTATTGTCACCATTGATGAGATTCACAGGCTGATTCTTGATGTCTGTGTGTCTAAAAACGAAATAGAATCAATAAATAGTTTATTGTACATGAGACATGTTTAAAAAAAATCTTTGGATTTCATTGTAAAAGGTAAAAATATTATGCTGTACAAGGCCAGTGCTGCTATAATTAATAAAGTAAACCTAAATTGGACTCAATATGAGTTCAGTGATTCAGGTCAAATGATTGTGAAAAAATGATTGTTAAAACACAACCAACACCATCAGATCACCTATTCTAGTTGTTCATCTGGCTGTTATAACTCACGTACAGCAGGCAAACAACATCTAAAGTTAATGATTTAAGGGTCAAGAGCCCAACTAAAACACAGACTGATCTCCATAACGGTGACATAAAAATTCCGGTTTTCTCCTTCAGAGATTCTGCTTGTTAAAGGAGTAGTTCACTTTTGAAAAAACTTTTGCTGATAATTTACTCACCCCCATGTCATCCAAGATGCCTATGTCTTTCTTTCCTCAGTCGAAAAGAAATTACGGTTTTTGATGAAAACATTCCAGGATTTTTCTCCATATAATGGACTTAAATGGGAACCATACGGTCCAAGGTCCAAAATACAGTTAATAACAGTTTCAGATGCAGCTTAAAATGTCTTTAAACGACACCAGACGATGAATAAGGGTCTTATCATGCGAAACAATCGCTTATTTCAAAACTTATTCCAAAAATGTACGTTTTCTAAGGACAAATGCTAGCCTTGCTCTATTCTGTGAGGCGCGTTTGTAACGTCACGTAATACGCAATTACGTTCAAAAGGTCACGGTTGACGTAGCCGGAAGTACAGAGTCAGTGTTTACAAGTTGAACGTGCAAACTAACTCAAACGCCGTTTACAAAAAAAGGAATTAAAAGGTAAAACAACAATGTCGGACGATTTTGAACGTAGAGTAGAAGATGAGATGGAGTGTTTCGCCGTTCCCTACCTTTTTGAACCTGAATACACAGACGAAGAAATTAGGCAGATGGAAGAGACTGCTGCGGCGACACACACCTCTCAAGCATCGGGCAGACAAAGATCGAACGAGACGTGGTGGTGCACTTGTGGCAAATGCCAACCATTGCCAACGGAGGAAGAATCCCAGTGCTGCCACGACTGGACCATTTCAATCCCGCCGTTAGAGTCTATCAATGAGTCAGCTGATGAGACCCAGTTTACATATCGCTGCATTACTCAACAAAGTGGATTTCCACCGTTACTGAGCAAAAGCGTTCTGGAGGTGTTTTTTAGTTTGCCCAAAATCAACTGGAGACGCCATGCGAGGCCCCAAGGACCTGGTGGCACCCTAACAGTAGAGTAAGTATTCCGTGTATTATGATTATACACTCACCAGCCACTTTATTAGGTACACCTGTCCAACTGCTCGTTAACACTTAATTTCTAAGCAGCCAATCACATGGCGGCAACTCAGTGCATTTAGGCATGTAGACATGGTCAAGACAATCTCCTGCAGTTCAAACCAAGCATCAGTATGGGGAAGAAAGTTGATTTGAGTGACTTTGAACGTGGCATGATTGTTGGTGCCAGAAGGGCTGGTCTGAGTATTTCAGAAACTGCTAATCTACTGGGATTTTCACGCACAACCATCTCTAGGGTTTACAGAGAATGGTCCGAAAAAGAAAAAACATCCAGTGAGCGGCAGTTCTGTGGGCGGAAATGCCTTGTTGATGCCAGAGGTCAGAGGAGAATGGCCAGACTGGTTCGAGCTGATAGAAGGGCAACAGTGACTGAAATAACCACTCGTTACAACCGAGGTATGCAGCAAAGCATTTGTGAAGCCACAACACGCACAACCTTGAGGCGGATGGGCTACAACAGCAGAAGACTCCACCGGGTACCACTCATCTCCACTACAAATAGGAAAAAGAGGCTACAATTTGCAAGAGCTCACCAAAATTGAACAGTTGAAGACTGGAAAAATGTTGCCTGGTCTGATGAGTCTCGATTTCTGTTGAGACATTCAGATGTTAGAGTCAGAATTTGGCGTAAACAGAATGAGAACATGGAACCATCATGCCTTGTTACCACTGTGCAGGCTGGTGGTGGTGGTGTAATGGTGTGGGGGATGTTTTCCTGGCACACTTTAGGCCCCTTAGTGCCAATTGGGCATCGTTTAAATGCCACGGCCTACCTGAGCATTGTTTCTGACCATGTCCATCCCTTTATGGCCACCATGTACCCATCCTCTGATGGCTACTTCCACCATGTCACAAAGCTCTAATCATTTCAAATTGGTTTCTTGAACATGACAATGAGTTCACTGTACTAAAATGGCCTCCACAGTCACCAGATCTCAACCCAATAGAGCATCTTTGGGATGTGGTGGAACGGTAGATTCGCATCATGGATGTGCAGCCGACAAATCTGCGGCAACTGTGTGATGCCATCATGTCAATATGGACCAAACTCCCTGAGGAATGCTTCCAGCACCTTGTTGAATCTATGCCACGAAGAATTGAGGCAGTTCTGAAGGCAAAAGGGGGTCCAACCCGTTACTAGCATGGGGTACCTAATAAAGTGGCCGGTGAGTGTATGTTATACATATTTTATAATTTTTCATATTTTAACATTATATATTTCAAAAGGGATTGATTGCACACATTCAATTTATTTTACAGTCAATACCAGCTGGTGGCATACAGGATAGTGCTGGAATGGATGCTGAAAGGGGAGAGATTGGGAAGACGCAACAGGAGGGTTCTTCCGTCCTGTGTTGTCAATGCCATCAGACGGTCATACCCCTCTCCATCAGGAATGTATGTAGGCTTCAGAGAAGCAGAAGAGGCTTTTAGTCTTCTATAGATATAATGATTCAAATTAAAAACATACATTTTTGATTAAAATAATTGGTTTTTGCTTGGTTAATATTTTTTAATGAATGTAATTGCTTAATTTTTTCATAGTCAATGTTATTTGTTATTGTATATACATCAACACAACACAATTATTGATGTCTCACACAAATGCATATTGTAATTTATTTTATTTAAAAATAAAACAAATTAGATAACTACAGTCGTTGATGTTTAATTATAACTGATTTAGGATACCATCAGTAAGAACCATATATTTCACACTAACACCATAAATATACATTTTCTTTCACCAACAGTGTTTTTTCTTTTTTCTTTTTAAATCAGTAAGATACACACATACAAAAAAATAATAAATGTACAACTTGAGTAAAAAAATAAAAAATAATTGTACATTAGACGATAACATTTAAAAAGTAAATCAGTGTCCAAATCGTGATAAACGCTTTGCAATTACTTCTTGCTTGTCAGGCCTTGGTGTTAGGGCTATGTTCTGCGGCAATGGGTGATGAGTCAAATGAGAAGAACTGTCCTTGTAAACAACGCTGGTGTCCAGCCGCCGCCGTACAACTTTCTCAACCAGAGTCTCTTTGATTTTTTGAGTTTTTTTTTTTCAAAAATTGCTTTAGCTACCCATTCTTTTGTATGTTTGGGGAAAACAATGTTGTACCGAGGTAAACCTGTATTAAATGAAAATTTAAGAAATATAAGAGGAAATTATACAATTTGTATGTACTACATTAATATAATAGAATGTCGGCATTTGTTTCTCAACTTGATTAACTTAGATCTATTGTCATAACCCAACATATTGTACAATCTTTTGTACTTACGCACAATCGGTTGTTTTCGACTTACGCCCGTTTCACACATACTCCGTGTGCAGTGCGTATGCGGTGCGTGTTGCGGTGCGTATGCGGTACAGGAGCAGCACGCGCTATAGTGCTTTCACATATGCTGCGTGCGTTTGCAGTGCGCAACTGATCCGCGGCTGTACCACAAACACATTTACTCACTATTTGTATTTCAAAAAATCATCAATCAAATCAAGTTATCAGCAGCAAAAGTTTTTGCCTCCAGTGCAATTCTCTTTGTAGGCCTATTCACGTTTAAAACACAATTTAAACAACGTATTATTCAATGCATTACTTTTATATAGGCCTAGATTATATATTAAGTTGCTCAAGCAAGTGGTAACATATTTAACCATGTACTTATATTAAAATCGCAAACATTTTAAATTAAAACTTAAAATTGACAAAAACAGCAGACTCATACCTTTTCTTTTGCATAATTCAAATCTGTATACAATAAATATTGCATGTCACAAATAACTTGTTTTTCCACCTCAACGAATGAGACGAGTGTCGTTCATTATGTGGCCTTGTTGAAGTAAATTGTAGCTTTCTTTGCTTTACCCCGGTCTTAAAGTAAAAATATGACTGTGAACAAAGTAGTATTTAATTAAATGCATTTATGGTTACATTTTATTTAATTAAATACATTTATGGTGAGATTACTACATTTTATTGAATTAAATGCATTTATGGTGAAATTACTACATATTCAGGTCAGTCTGTGTTCATTTTGACCACGAACCGTGCGCTGTCACTTTAATTCAGCGTTTGCAGCACAGCAGAAATAGACTCGGTGCGGAAACGATCTCTGCACTGCTGTATACGCACCGCAACTGGAACGGATCGACGGACCGCATCCGCGTGCAGTGTGAAAGCTCTAACCTGTTAACATGGGTACGGAAAAAAATACGCACCGCATACGCACTGCAAACGGAGTATGTGTGAAACGGGCGTTACCAGTAGTGGTTGTTGCCTGCTGACGACCTACATTTTCATTGTGGTCAAGGATAGCGAGTTGTGTTCGTGCAACCATGGATGCATAATGAAAATGGAGGTTCTTGGAGCAGTATTTCAGTAGGACAGAATGAAACACCTCCAGTTGTCCTAAAGATAAATTTAAAAATTGTATATGCTGTACCTACATGTACATGACTATCTAAACTATTTGTATACAAATAATTTACCGGTGTGTTTGAAAAGAGCCATTTGCCTCAAATCCTTTTGAAGTCCTCTGTCCAGAACCAGATTCTGCAGTGTGCGGAAGGCGTGCGAGTCTTTTCCCAGCCATTTTTTTCTGTGTTGCTCTTCCAGACTGAGATCATTGTGTCTGCATTTTTTCGGATTTCCTTCTTCAATCCAACTGTGCACACCTGTAATGTGATAAAGTATGGACTTCCAATTCTCGATCAGTTCCTGTATAAATATGTAAAAAAGACATTATTATACATTATATCTACCCCCTCCCCTCCACTCCAGAACAGAACTTACGTCTGGGTCACCTCCACAAGTTGCACAGCAATACCATAAATGGTTGCAAATACTTCGTGTCCATGGCTGCAGCTCTCGATTGTCCTTGTATCTTGAATTGGAGCACAACTTTTTGGAAAGTCCTAAAAAAAATATTATTTCAATTATAAAACTTTTAAAAAGGATTGAACAAATAGTACGCATTGACATTTGGCTGCATGCACACAACACTTTGTATATTCCTATAGAGGAATAAGTAAGCTTTTTTGATAATTCATAATTAATATCTCTTTTTTAGTCTCTTATGAGACATTTACCTTTGACCACATGCCAGACATCAAATTCGTGGTGAATGTTTGGATATTCTACACGCATAATCTTTCGAATAGATGGTGATCTGTCTGGGGTCAGCACGTCTATTTTGATTCCTTGTTCTTGTATTGTGTTCACTGCCCTCTTGAATCCTACTGGCTCCATGGCCACAGAACTAGATGCTTCTGTAACCTGAAATGCAATACCATGATAAATAAACAAGGAGTGTGTGTATTTTCAAATGCTGTTCAAAACTACCAACATATTTATTTTTTGTACCATTAAAACCATTTTATATTGTACATAACATTGCAAAAACTGCCAGTAATGTTACTGTACTTCATTTTAAAATAATGAACACCTACAAAGGTTACTTAAAATTAACAACATACAGGATATATAATTATTTCATGTAAACTGACCTGCACCAATTCAAAGTGAACAATTTTGTCTGTGGTGTCATCCATTAAACTATATGTGTTGTATTTTGCCGAAAATCCAGGGCTAAAATAATCACAAGCATAAAACATGTCAGTATTGTTTAAATTTTCTAAAATATTTTCAAAATAATAATACTAATAAAAAAATTACTACATTTACTTGCCTGTCTGACCTCCCATCTCCGGACAAATGAACTGGATTACAGAGTTCAGTTTGTAAATGTAAGTCATTGATTGCTGCTTTCTGTTGTTGTTTATATTCTTCATCAATGACTGGAACAAGGTATGAAGACTGAATGTCAAAGTAAGTGGTTTTATGGGGTATTTGAAGGTTGAGCAAAGTGGCCCAATCAGCGACGTCAGTATATGTTGCTCCAGTGAATAGTGTACATGCAGAAACAAGAAGATTATTAGCTGGCATTCCCCTAACATCACTGCAAGAACTCCACTTTCCTTTGTGTTTTTTTTCACATTCCCAGTGAACACGGAGAAGACTTCCCACAGATGCTTTTGTGGTCTTTGTTATTACTGATCCGCATTCTTGACATCTTTTGAACAGCTCCATGACATGAGGCTCATTGACAATCCATTTTTTCGTTTTCCAATGCATTTCACATTCCTCTTCTTCTGTGCTTGTGGTAGACGTTGATGTTGAACTCAGTGGCTGAAAACTAAGATCTTTCGGTAACACTTTATTTTAAGGTGCTTGTAATAAGCAGTAATTAACAGTTAATAAGACACTTATAAGACCTTATAAGACACTTATAAGACCTTATAAGATGCATATATGATGCATATAAGCATTAACTACTTCATATAAGGGTTAATTAAAGGTCCAGGCCCTGAAGAGATCAGGGAAACTACTCCCTCTTGGGAAGCTCAATTTTTAAGGGCCTGGGAGTTTGTGTTACCATTTATGTTTGTTCGGCTGTTCTAAAAGTGCAATGTATTGATACTTGAGAAATGTATTATTTAATTTAATTTATTTATTATCATTAGTTAATGCTTATATGCATCTTATATGCATCTTATAAGGTCTTATAAGTGTCTTACTAACTGTTAATTACTGCTTATTACAAGCACCTTAAAATAAAGTGTTACCGATCTTTCTTGTCCGATGGAGGATCTATGGAAAGCAGGCTAACATCAAGCTCCAAAGTTTCTTCTAATTGCTCTTCCATCTGTTCTGGTTGATTATACACAGGGGACTGTGAAATTACATTGATTACAGTTAGTTTATAATGAAACAGAAAATAAAATATTAATTTAAATAATCGATTTAATACTTCAATTTGAGTATATGTGTTTATTTTTATGATACAACATCATTAGACTAGCAAATACTACATTTTAATCAATTAATTTTTTGTTCAAAAATTAAGGTACTTACAGACTGGTGGGAGTGTATTGCAGGCAGGGCAAAATACATTCCAGATAATGAGGGTGTTTTCCTTTTTCCAACACTTTCAGGACTTGTGAGCATTAAACGAAGTTTGGACGGAGCATCTGCAAACTGTCTCGTTGTAGTTCCTGGATCAGATTCCTGTTGCTTTACTGGTGTTGAGTGTGGAACATTAGCCCAAAAATCTCCTGTTTCCTGGACCTCCAGCTCAGCGCTATGGTCTTTAGCTAGGGACTCTAGATTTCCACCATACGGATTCTTCGGATAAAAAAAAAAAAAAATGAACACGTCTATAGTATTAGGACAATACTAGTGATAAACAGTCACACGTTATGAAAGACATTGACGAGGAAAAAAACATCAATACATTTAATATAGTAAAAAAACAAACATACACATACCTCCGTTTGGTGTAAAACCGTATGGGGCACAGCCGAAATTTTCAGAAAACAACGATCTCCTTGCTGGGTGGGTTTGAAATCATCGTCGAAAAAGTGATCACTGCACACTCTCTTACATTTAAGAACATGTTCAGGTGTGTTTATATCCAAGTTCAGCGCGAGCAGCCACAGTTTCAATCGCTCGGGATTGTTTACAGGAAATCTATGAAAAGTTAGATGTTTTTGTCCTAAATAAAAAAATCTTTTTGACTTTAAAATATTAAAACACCCAGGACACACACACGACATGGGCATTTTAAAATGATACGTTTTGCTTTCGTTTAATTTAACGGAATCTGTTAGCCTATAGGTTAAACTATTTATATTTTTATTATTATTATTATTTTGTTCTAAAGGTTTGTTCTATTCTCTTTCGTTTGTTTATTTTTATTTTATTTTTTACATATTCAATCAGTTTTAACTATTTCATCCTTACTGTTAATTGACATTAGCCCGTTTCAAAATGCGGCAATTGCAGCTGTTTTGCTAAATGCCCCTTTGCGCCACCTGGCGGTCATTTCGCGAAGGACTTTGAAATGCGACTAGTTTATTTTTGCCGCGGTGGATTTGCCGCGGCACGAGTCGCGGCGGTAATAGGCATTCTGGTTGAGTACCTACTGTAATACGTTATTCCGGATTATGTTTGTATTTACGTAACGTTACACTAGTTAGAAATGACATACAGATCACAGAGAAGAAAACGTAAACAGAGTTATCAGGCTGTAGCGCCATAAATTAGGATATGAAAGACGATTACTAGACAGAGTAATCTCTCTAATCAAAGACTCTGCTTATTACACACACACTCTGCTAATTACACACACACTCTGCTTATTACACACACACACTCTGCTTATTACACACACACTCTGTTTATTATTACACACACAGGGACATGCACAAACATGCCAAATTTAAAATAAAAGGATTACAATGTAAAAGATTATTATTGTGTACATAAAGATATGGTGGAATCCGGCTTGTCCCGTAGATGGTCTATCTATAGTAACGTTAGGTTGTGTGTAGTTGATGTAATCGTATGTAGCTAGCTAATAACGTTACATGTTATCTCTTCCATGACTAGCTATTAGGTGATGTAGCTAGTAGATGTAAACTAATGTGGTGAGGGGCATCAGGTACTTGAAGGAATTGTAAGAAGCACCAATGGTTATACTAATATTCGACTACGCCACCCGGTATATACCGGGAACTACCAGCCCCAGAATAGGGGGCGCACAGGTTTGTTACCGAATCTGGGTGAGCAAAGAGACATAGGCCAAGGAATACAAAAGATGGGGTAGCTTTATTCAAATACAAAAAAAGTTAAAAACCATCAATACATTAACATCAAGGGCACAATATTCACAGGTCAAAAAGAAACCAAACAAAAGAAACACTTTAAACGAATATATAAATAACTACAAACAAACAAAAGAAAGCTTTAAAGGAGGGGAATGGCCTACTGTAACCCCCAATTCACACACACACACACCACACTTAATACCCACACACACCCACTCTGGTGAGGTCAATTTCAAGAAGTTTAGCACACAAGATGAACACCTGTAAAAGCCAATTACTAGAGGTGGGACAAAGTCATTAGAGAGAGGTATAAGGGCACAAGCCATCACTTTGAGTGATTTATTGCCCAATAAAATGTTTCCCACGCTCAAGCCACGCCCCCTTCTACCCCACCCACCCACTTCCGGTCTGAACACCTGGACCGTGGGAATTTTCCCACGGCCCCCCCTCCTCTTTCCACCTCCCTCACCCCCTCCGGCCACCCCTCCCCTCAGGGTTGTGAGGATTTGAAGTGTGTCAGTGAGAGTTTTATGATTTAAAAATGTAAAACGTTAAAAAATGTTGAAAAACATTAAAACAATGTGTTTTCAAATCTTTTTTTATTTTATTTTTTATTTATTTTTAAGAAGGTTGACCGTAAGGTTGACGAGGTAAGTTCAGTGTTTTATCAAAGTCTGTTGTACATTCAAAACCAGTTTTAAAACAGTGTATAAATGTTAAAAGTATAAATTGTATTTCTTATAAGTGTTAGTGTTAGTGTTAAAATGTCATCAGACAAATAATCGTTTGTGCAAAACGTTGAAAGAGGAAGATAAGTTTAACCAGTTTTGTGTTTAAACATGTGTGAAAGAGCACAGAGTGTAATCTCCGGGATGCACGATAAAAAAACACATCTGATCGTACAGGAGGTCTGACAGCAATGATGACAGCAAAGTCTGTACACCACCCCACACCCTGACTCCACCCACGGCACACCCACACGTGACGTGTGTGGGAAAACACTTTTTTTTATTAATCTTTTATATTTGTTTAATACGGGGTTTTTATTCTATAATTATTTGTATATCTCTCTATGTAAATAGGTTTTGGATACTCCGTACATGGATACTCCTTGTAGGAGCCTATAAGTTGTTAAGCATAACAATGACTACCCTACAGATGAATGCACAATTAAATGTTTAGACCAAAGAATTTAAGTCTCACCGCTAGACACCAACACACACACACACACACACACACACACACACACACACACACACACACACACACACACACACACACACACACACACACTATCACATACTATTGGCTCCGTAATGTCTGACCCCCCTTGATGTGTTTGAAAACATGAGGGGGGTCTGTTTTTATTTTTTCTCTTTTGAAGTTTTGGTGAAGAGTGGTTTTATTTTATTGCATGGCTTATCAGTGATGTTTGGCCGGTTCTATCGTGAGATTCACCACGTGTCTTTTTCTAGTTGTAAAATCAACTATCAGATCCCATGCGGAGTTGTGAAGTTTTGCTGAAGCGTGATTTTATTTTATTGCAAGGGTTATTTTATTTTATTGCATGGTTTTTATCAGCGATGTTTGGCCCGGTTCTATCATGAGATTCACCATATGTTTTTCTAGTTGTAAAATCAGCTATCAGATCCCATGCGGAGTTGAAAGAACTATTCTTCGAGAAAGATGTGTTTTCCGACGGAGGATCGTTTTACTTAGGGGTTGAGAGGAAAAAAATTGTTTTTGAATTTGGGGGGGTCTTACGAAGACAAGAGACCAGCTCATTCGATCGATATACACTGAGCGAGATCGTCTACAGATTCGATATCCTACAAAACATGGCCGAAGATCAATACGGTAGGGTGTAGTCTATTTCTTATTTTTTACAAAAATATTATAACAAATGAGTGTTTAATTTTCTTCTCTCATTTTTAAACATGAAACAGCAGAGGGAGCCGAGGGTGTATATTTTGACGAAGATTTGATGGAAATTTTGAACGAGCTTTGTGAGTAAATTTTCCAAACGTTATACATTTCATTGAAAATATTACTGTTGTTAATATACATCTGTCTGATTTTAGATGTGGAGTCCTTTCCAGACGGTGTTTCACCTGATGATTTTTTACATGTTTATAATGAAAATTCGTCAGAAGTGAATAACTTCGAAAACATATTATCACGCTCCCCCAGTCACGTGCTAGGATGCTCAGGGGATGTATTGGCGAGTGTAGCGACCGATCCATTGGATGAGACCAGTAGGTCGTACGACAACGTCACACCTTGGGGGACGCCAGGGTCGTCGAGCTACGGGTCGTCACACAGATCCCACGAAAGCGATACGACTTCGGACGAGGATACGCATCAGGAGCCTTCATCCAGCGACGGGGCAACACAATCTATTGCTCCGGGCGGTCTCAGAGGCTCCGGACGTGGGATTAAGCGTCTTCGGGAGGTTTATGGGGGCTATAATTCTGACAACGGGGAAGAGTTAGAATATCCATGCGAAGGTGAGCGACGATGTTTTTTTTTTTTT